TATATATATATATATATATATATAATCTACCAGAAAAACGGTGAAACAGTAAAGCAAGTTCAGATTCAACTCCGTGTAACATTTCCATTACAACTCGATTTAGTTTCCTCCATTACACAATTCATTCAGATGAATTGAGGAACAAAATGTGACAGACCCAGGATTAAACAAATAAATGGGGGCCAATGCTAAGGATCAAAGCCGAACAGACACGCAGATGTAAAAATCCTTCTGATACTCTACATTTTTGTCAAATTTACAAGCAGGCATAAAGAAATAGTTTTTTTTTTTTTTTTTTTTTTTTTTTTTTAAAAACCACATCCATCTTCTCTTTTCTTGTCTCATTAAGGGATAGCATGCACTTTAGAAGCACGAGTCAATGATCGGTATGTATGGCAGCAGAAAAAATAAAATATAATTGCAAAACAAATAGCAAAAATTACTACAGACGCAGATCTCACCCGACAGCTCGCGCGGTATTATGGACGAAAAACTTCTGTTGATCGACTAGAATAGTTCCTCGGAGTTGAACTTGTTCCAGGCTTCCTATTTTACGTATAAGAAAGGAAATTATGGTGAAAGCATTAATCAGCTAATGTGAAAGCAATGCAAGTTGTTAAATGAGACAAGAAATTAAGAACATCAATGTAAAAATAGAAATTAGGGTGAAAGCATTAATCAGCTAATGTGAAATCAACGCCGTGTGAGACAACTTTAGCGATAAGTTCACAAAATAAAACACTAAATCAAAACAAAAGTTTAAGTTAGAATGGATTTGAAACGAGAAAAGACACCAATATTGGTGCTAATGAATAAGACCATTTAATGATTTGTCAAAATGAACTACAAAAGTTTATGGAATATATTAATACATACAGTCCATAAATTAATGAAAGCACATATCTTCAAGTATATTAATAAACATGCAAACCCCTAAAATAAAGAAAAACGAACGTTTAAATACAGATTAAACTTCGAAATGGCTTCAAATGGCCCTAGTTAACCTTGATGTCCATAATGCCCCTTCTAGTGGAAAAAATCATCAAAATAATATGTCAAAACATATAATACTATAATATCTCCAATGGTCTAACTCAAATACATTAAATTTTGAATCGGTTGATAAGGTGTACATACCAAGCCATGAGTTAAATCTTGCCATAACTGATCGAAGGGTCCTCGTAAGTCATAGCCTTAATATGCATGTTAAATAAGCATAACACTGAAAACAATAAAACTAAATAAACAAATGGGCCACCTTACCTAAGAGCAAGATCATATTTTCATTTCCCTCGACATTCTAAGTTCCATTTATAGGGTCTTCCAATAAATACAAGATTATCCCAATTAATTCAGATCCACACAAAAGCCAATAAACTCTTTGAATCATAACTTTGACATTTTAAAGGATGTATGCCAGCCCAACCAACATAGATCTTCCAATATATGTAAGACATAATCAAATCTAAACTCAAACCAAATCTCAGGCTACGAAGCAAGCAAGTCAAATCAAACCCATCAATTAAAACAACACAAATCAAATGCTATAGGTCCTAGATATGCTCTCTTGGATACACTTCTTAGAGTTGAGCTAAAACTCGTAAATGAATGGTCACACCACACTCTGAACTCTTGTTGGCCAAGTTCAATACTGCTATACTGTAAGTGGTTATGCTTCGTTCCTCTTATTATATAAAAAGAAAATTGACTAGCTATTTACTAATAAATGAGAATATGTTTACCTCAAAAACACATCTTCAAAACATAATTTCTATCTTGATCGGCATGGGATATTTGAGATGAGGCAACTCATAGTTGCTAATAAAGTTTTTAAAATGTTACAATTCATAGCCTTCTAAAAGACTCGAGTCCATAGACCATGATTAGCATAACAATAGCACAGGGATTCGATGAGAGAAATCTGCTAATGCTAGAGGGTTGTGAGCTATATAATGCCCAGAGATGTTGATTCAAATTACAAAACAAAAGTCGCACAAAGAACGTTGCATGTTGAACGGGCACAACATCATAATGCAATTCCTAAAGATCCTCCATGAAAAAATCTAGATAGTAAAAGGTCAAGGCCTCAAATACCTAAGGTAGTACAAAAAGCACTAGCAAGATATTTGGGAAATACAGCTCCCATAAATTCACTATCAAAAAGTCATGCATGGAAATAAGAGGATGAGATCTAAAATTCTCATACTTGCACATCGAGCAAAAGAGCGTGACATCTAAGCAATATAAATCCTATAGTTTTGCCATGTGAGGGTCCTAGTACTACAATATGAGATCAAAGCATCAAATTCCAATGCTTAGATGGTAATCACCAAGGTGTGGCATCTACATAAAACATCCCCAGAGATGCACCCCTAAAATGTCCAAGTATAAATGGGTATAGAAGGAAACGAACTTTCCTTTCTGTTACTATAACATAAACCAAAAGCGTTCAATCCGAGGAGCCTTTTGTTGAAAGCCCTGTCAAAAAAGGGGTAATTTTTTTAAACCCATTAAAAATATGGGAAAAATTCAAACAAGCTTATCGAAAATAACTTATAAAAAATTTAACCAGAGCAACAAAAAAAATTGAGATTCAGATGTTTATAAAATCAAGGAACAAATTTGTACCACACTTTTCAATAGAATGACCAAAGGAGCACATCTCGTTTGGCCTAGTATCAAGAAAAATCTAAAGTTAACAGCTCAAGTAGACAATTCAAAAAAAATTTATTGGCCTAACAAACTTAAGAGCATGGCTATAATACAAATATGATTATAGATATTGAATGTCGGTTTTTTTTATTTTTAATGTGTGAAACATTTCCATCAAATCCATAAGCCTGAAGGACAAACCATTATAAACCTAAGGGTACACTTAACCATACAAATTTATAATGGCTCAATAAGTTTTACGAACAAGTGTCTCTTCAATTCAACAAGCTCGATGGGCGAATTGGTAGAACGATATCAACTCAATGAACCAAAGGATAAATTTAATTTGGTGGATTCAACATACTCTCGCGATAGAGTAAAAACAAATAAATATGAGTGTTAATAAATTCAAGAATTGAGACAAGTCTTGCCTACGAACTCAAGAGAAGAGTTGCCAAAGTGTGTTAATTCACCAAGCCATGATAACAAAAGACAATCATATGTATATATACACATATTGCACAAGAATAGCAAAGGATTGCATTGGCCATGCTATAAGTGCCAAAATTGGCAAATCCATTGAGGTTTCTTACATTGATTGCCTAGGACAATATATCTCATAATACTATCTTAAGTTTGAAAATTAGAATATTGACCTAATTAGTCCCTATATACCCTCTATATTCCAAAAGAGATCAATTTATTTTCAATTCCACAGATTATTTTTGTAAGTGGGTCAAAACAATTCCCCTAAAAAAAGTTGAGGCAAATAATGAAGAGGTTCTTTTAGGATAAAATTATATATTGATTTGAAATCTCACACTGAATTACAATAACAATAGCACACCCTATTTAAAGCAGTGAAATTTATCAATTCACTGATCAACATAAGATACATTGGTTCTATTCCTCCCTATATAACCCAAAAGGTAATTTATTTGATTGAGTCATTCATGAAGAACTTCTTAGTTAAACTTAACAAACCCCCCCCCCCCACTCCAACATGGGTCAATCACACAACATATTAGATTATAATACATACTACTCCATACTACTCTTCTTGGGTATTGGACTCATGCAAGAAAAAAAATGCATGTGCGCTATTCTAGGAACTTAAACACTAGAGGGAGTTCACCTTCAAGCTCAGGAAAAACTAGAAAATCATGAGCAGGAATCACAATACCCAGTAATCATATGGTTCATCCGGAGAACTTTAAAGTGGGTAAGTAAATCCCAATCCATTAAAGACCCATAATTCTCCTAGGTGCATGGGCGAAAAAACTGACCCAAGTTTAGAAGAAACCCTCTTTATTGAAAAAAGTATATGAAAAAGGTTTTTATTAAATTTTTGTGCATGGGACAAAATTGCCGAATCAATTGAGGTTTCTTACATTGATTGACTAGGACATTATATCTCATAATACAATCTTTTGTTTGAAAAATAGAACATTGACCTAATTAGTCCCTACATACCCTCTATATTCTAAATAGATCAATTTATTTTCAATTCCACAGATTATTTTTGTAAGTGGGTCAAAATAATTCCCCTAAAAAAAATTGAGGCAAATAATGAAGTTCTTTTAGGATCAAATTATATATCGATTTGGAGCCTCACACTGAATTATACTAATCTCACACTGAATTGTACTAACAATAGCACACCCTATTTAAAGAAGTGAGATTTATCAATTCATTGATCAACATAAGATACATTGGTTCTATTCCTCCCTATATAACCCAAAAGGTAATTTATTTGATTGAGTCATGCATGAAGAACTTCTTAGTTAAACTTAACAACCACCCCACCCCCAACCACCGCGCTAAAAAAAAAAAAAAAAACCTCTCACAACTAAGAGAGAATAATACAACAAACTAAAAACACTATGGGACAATCACACAGCATACAAAATTATAATACATACTACTCCATACTACTCTTCTTGGGAATCGGACTCATGCAAGAAAAAAATGCATGTGCGATTCTAGGAACTTAAACACTTCAAGCTCAGGAAAAACTAGAAAATCATGAGCAGAAATCACAATACCCAAGGAATCACAATACCCAATAATCATACGGTCCATCCGGAGAACTTTAAAGTGGGTAAGTAAATCCCAATCCATTAAAGACCCATATATCTCCTATGTGCATGGGCGAAAAAACTGGTGCACGGGCGAAAAAACTAAACCAAGTTTAGAAGAAACCCTCTTTATTAAAAAAAGTATATGAAAAAGGTTTTTATTAAATTTTTGTGTATGGATCAAAATTGTCGAATCCATTGAGGTTTCTTACATTGATTGCCTAGGACATTATATCTCATAATACTATCTTCTGTTTGAAAATTAGAACATTAACCTAATTAGTCCCTATATACCCTCTATATTCCTAAAGAGATCAATTTATTTTCAATTCCATATATTATTTTGTAAGTGGGTCAAAACAATTCCCCTAAAAAAAGTTGAGGCAAATAATGAAGACGTTCTTTTAGGATCAAATTATATATCGATTTAGAGTCTTACACTGAATTATACTAACAATAGCACACCCTATTTAAAGCAGTGAGATTTATCAATTCATTGATCAGCATATAATACATTGGTTCTATTCCTCCCTATATAACCCAAAAGGTAATTGATTTGATTGAGTCATTCATGAAGAACTTCTTAGTTAAACTTAACAACCCCCCCCCAAACCCACCCACCGCGCTCAAAAAAAAAAAAAAAAAAAAAAAAAACTTTTTATAACTAAGAGAGAATAATACAACAAACTAAAAACACTATGGGACTATCACACAACATATAAAATTACAATATATACTACCCCATAATACTTTTCTTGGGTATTGGACTCATGCAAGAAAAAAATGCATGTGTGTGATTCTAGGAACTTAAACACT